CATTTCAGGACTAGCAAGTAGAAAAAATACTCAACATGGAATGGAGCCAGTATGGGTAGAAGCAATTACGGATGTTGATTCAAAAAATGACATTTTATTAAATCAATGTTGAGTTGTAATGAAAAAAATGAAGAAACACCGACACAATTCGGATGTTTTTGTAGCTCAGAATTATTAAAAACGACTTTTTCGTTCGTGAAAAAACGTTTTTGAAAAATCAAAAATATACTTTTGAAGTGTATTCTGTGGGGTTTCTAATGAAATATGATTACTGACTCTATCTCTTCATGGGGCTAACCAGATCGATTTGAAAACATGTCTGGAAAATCATCTCGATGATTTGAACTTCTCATCTTTTCGTTCAAAGTATTATGATGATATTTAGCATGCATAGCATGACAAATGATTTTTGCTAGATGTAGTTTAAGATGCCGTATCTGTAAAAAGCTGTCTTTGCTTAATTATAAAATAAAAGTACTCGATAAACCAATAATTATACGCTGATTCTTTCATTTATTCAAAAAACCATCATGTGTAGATTGTCTTAGAAAAATCAGATATTCTGGATCAAAACTAAACACAAGAAAATTAATCTGTTATATTCTTGATCAATGCAACAAATCTCTTTCTAGCCATGTACAAAAGATGGAAAGAATGACATTTTCTATAAGCATTGCATTGAAAGCGCAATGTCGTTGTTGTCTTTTATAAAAAGAAAAAAAAACGTTGACTACTCTTTATTAAAACAGATACATGGTCAAAAGAGACTCAATTGTGAATTATCAATATCAAATCACTAGTTGTCTACAACTGCGTATTAATCATACACAAAAGAAAAAAAAATAACATGATATATATATAATATATAACTGGATTTTGAAAAATCCTAACAACATACTCATTAAGATATTTTAAACTATCTTGAAATAGAAAGCATCGTAAATATACTTTTACAATATTATCCTCTTCATATAGAATAATGTACAGTTCATGTTCTTTATTCTATGAGCAAATATAATAGATCATAATTGCCTTTAATCACTCTATTGAGTGCTTTTCATCATAATGCATATATCACGTCTACAAAGCTATTTGTCGAAAAATTTGCAAACATATATAAAACTGATTCCCTGTATTTTCTACAGTTTTGTCAACGAATCATCATGCTTCTTAATTGTTTCAGTTTTTGTAATAAGAAAAACTATTTTTTTTACGTAATACCAAATATTTCTTATACCATTCACATGAGACTGTATTGCTTACCTGTATATTTGTGTACGCTCTTGAATGATCAACGAATTGTGTTATGCTTTTGCTTATCGCGGATAAGTGACTATTATATATTAACGTACTTTTCCCTTTGCATTATATTGCTTGTATTATTTCCCTCAACCATGACTCAATTGTATATGCAATTATTGACTAACTAGCAAGCTATCGGAGGAAACCCATTTCATTGATAGTAGAACAAGCCATACTATGACGTATTGAATTTTATCCTTCGGATATTTCTTCATAGTATTTGTATTGTTGTAATTTTCCTACATTTTCACTTCTTTTTTCAAAAATTTACTATGTAGTTATATTCTCTCGTTGTATGTTATATCATTTTGTTATATGGTATGTTTCTTTCGTGCTATGAAATATTCTCTTATGTCACTACATATACATATGTCACAAGCAAAATTGAACTTATATTAGGCGCAAAATTTTAGCCGTATTTTTCAATTTACAAATAATTCGAAATTATTGTTTGCGTTCAGAAACTTCGGCAAATTGGTCAACTATTTCATTACTGAATATGTCAATAATTTTTGAGCAGATATAGCAAATCTGATACATTTTCTATGTTAAAGTAGAAAATAAAAACTCTTATGCATAAAAGAAATCATCATCAGTTTATAAAATATTTACTTATTTCTTTTCTTTTCAACAATATTTTTTTGTCTGACCAGTTAAAAAATTTTTATGTTAGAGAATATCCGCTATTCAATGGTAAATATATGATGACTACTAATTAACATCACTTGGATCAGTTGTCCGATGATTGTCTCTTATTTTTTCTATATTAATTATGAAGTGCAACAAGTCATGTATGGAGGTATTGATAAAAACAACAAGTGATTTCCACCTTTATTGTCATCAACTTTCTTGAAAACCAATTCAATTTGTCAAAAAACAATATTCACAAGTCAGATTTTGTTTTCTAATGTTTCTTTCCTTCCCTACTTTCCCCTTCTTTATTGTTCTTTTTTAGTCGGTCAGAAACCATAAAATGACTTAATGACCAATAGAAATGAGAAAGTCAGTATTCTGTAAGAGTTTGATTTACTTCACATTGTACGACGTTACTTTTTTGATGATCTCCTCTTTTCCTATTAAAATTAAGAATAAAAAATGACTGATTATTTATTAGGTAATCGATAAGAAAAACAACTATATTTTATTTTTATTATTATTAATTTTAATAATAGAAAAATAAAATAATCTGAAACTATATAATTACTACTTACGATTTTATATTTTTTCGCTTTTCCTTTTCTACTCCTTTCTTTTTATTTATGTTCTGTAAGCAGCTAAAAAAAATATTCTGATGGTAAACAAACTTGAAATCGGATATTCTATATTCATTTCGTTTTGTTGACATTAAATGATAGCACTCTTTGATAGTTAAATTTTACTACTGTTATCTTCAAAACGCATAAAAACCGTTCTCGAACGATACGATCATTGAATACATTTTCATATTTTATTATCAGGGTGTGGGTGTGGGTGTGTGGGTGGGTGTGGGATTGATAAGGGGTAGATTTAACTCACAACTACAACCACAGCC